CGTTCATCGACTCGGTCAGATCAAGTCCTTCGACGCGACGCTTGGCACCAGGTCCTACTGGGGTTTTGGCACGAGTGGCTCGCGGGGCGTGGCTATCGTTTTGATGCCGCGCTTTACGGGTACCGTGCTGCGCTACTTCAGGGATTCTGATGGCCGTCTAATGCCGATGGATATCGATTCGGGCTTTCGCATCGTAAATGTGTACGCTTCAAACGACTTCCGTTCACAGAAAGATTTCTTTGCCGCATTGGATAACCACCTAGTCGGCCCCTCTCGAGTCGTACTGGTGGGGGATTTCAATTGCATGCTAGATCGTATTGACCGCCGAACGTTCAGAGGCACTGCTACAAAATGGACAGATAGGCGTGGCGAAGGCGCACTGCGCGAGCTGGTCGACGAGCTGGGGCTGATCGATGCTTGGCACGCTCTTCGGCTGGCCCAGTCAGGAATGACTTGGGCTGGCAGGAGCACGCGGAGCAGGATCGACACTTTTACGTCTCGCCGTCACTGGCTGCCAGTATGCATTCCTCATGGTTAGTTTCCTCGGCTGTAAGTGACCATTGCCTCCTTATTTTAAGGCTCGCCGGTACAGACATCGCAGCTCAGGGTAAGCGGCCGTGGCACTTCAACGCCCGGCTTTTAAAAGACCGAGAAATACTCGTGACGTGGCGCGTTTAATACAGTGCAAGGTACACGAAACACGAGAGCTAGACGGTGACAAGTGGAGACCAGCGCCGCGGAATGCTTTCGGTCATGGAGCAAGCGCCGAGCACGAAAAGAGCGCGCGGAGATCAGAATTATCTCCGGAGTGATCCTACTGCTGTTTCTGCCGGAGTCCTCAGGCCCATGCATTGCGTTCGTGTTGGCTACGCTTCATAAAGAGCTAAGAGTAGCGCTCCACCGACGCTGGGATGGCCTCAAGGCCGTGGCCCGCCCTGAGAGATGGGAAATGGAGGCATGGTGTTGTCGAACTATTTTGCGTGACACTTAGCTAGGGCACACACGCCTCTGACGTCCCTCGTTGATTTAGAGACAGGTAGCTTAGTGGAAACGCCGGACGGGGTACTTGAGGTGGCAAAGCGGTTCTACGAGAACCTTTACACTGAGCCAACGCCGCCCTCGGCCGACTTTCCGTTCGTAAAAAATGATCAGGTATTCGAGCTCTGCGACTCCCCCATCGTGGAAGAGGAGCTTTTCGCGGCCTTCTATATGAAGCGTAATCATAGCCCGGGCACCAACGGTTTGACGGTGCAATTTTATGTCAAACTATGGGAATTGCTCGGGAAGCTTTTTACTACTCTGGTTAATAGGCTGCTGCGTGAAGGGACGCTGTAAACGACTCAGAGGAAGAGGCTGATCACTCTCCTTTGTAAGGACGAGTCGAGATGCACCGACCATCGGGCGTGGCGCCCCATCACACAACTCAACTGCGACTACAAGCTCATAGCCAAATTCCTGTCTGTTAGGCTCGCTCCAGTACTCAGTACTGTTTTGGGACAATACCAGGCAAGCTGTGTTAAACAACGATCCTGCCAATTACACGGTGTTATTACACGGTTTCGCGATTAGAGACCTGATTGAATGGACAAAAGCACGGGACGTCGCGGGTATTCTATGCTCATTCGATCAGGAAAAGGCATTCCGACAGAATAAGCCATCCCTTCATCTGCCAAGGTTTAAACGGGGCAGGATTTAGTGACAGGTTAGTGAGTTTGATTAGAGCTCTGTATTGTTGGCCGACGTCTGCGGTCATCATACAGGATCGCGGAGTCGTTCGAACGTGTGCAGAAGTCGTTCGACGTGCGCAGGGGGGTCAGGCAGGGCGACCCGCTCTCGCCCGCCCTGTGCGCGCTCGCGTTTGAACCGCTTCTACAGAGACTGTTTGGTGACAGCCGACTTTGTCAGTTACCCCTTCCACCGGACGCCCCTCCCGTCACGCTGTTTGCCTATGCAGACGACTTGTCTATCGTCGTCCGAGACGAGGCAACCTTTTGCACCGTCTTGGAAGTTTTAGACGAGTACTGCAAGGTGAGTGGCGCAAGCGTTATTTGGTCGAAAAGTGCAGTAATGTACTTAAACTCAGCTCCAAGTAGCATGCAGCCCGTACACGGCTTACCCGTGAAGGCGAGGCTGCGCATCCTAGGTTTACACTTCGAACCGCGAGGCCCGACTCCTGAAAACTGGCGAATAGCGGATGATAAGCTTGAAGGCAGAATTCAGGAGTTTGGAAAACTCTCTTGTCCGCTGACTGCTAGGGTAACGATCGCAGGATCGTTACTTTTCTCGGTATTAACTTACGTGGCTAGTGTTATGCCGGTCGCGAGTCGAACCAAGAATCGCTTGGAACAGACTCTCTTCCAGTTTCTATGGAGCGGTTTATGTATTTACGTGGGGCGCCGGGTCCTGAAGTTGCCCAGAGATCGAGGAGGACTCGGAGTCCCCGACCTGAGGCTCACAGTCAGAGCGCTTCACGTCAGATGGACCCGTGTAGCGTATAGCGTTAGACTCGGACATGGCACTCGAAGCTTCGCGTCGTTCTTCCTTAGAACGCGCATACGGCAGTTCTGGGCGGGCGCCCTCTCTCACTGCGTGCACCGTGCGGGAACCCCGTCAGCTTTTTACGCGAGCGCGGGTAGGACACTCGCGGAGATTCAGCGGGTCGATCCAGAGTGTGACGTAGTCGAGGTGCAACTCTAAGATTTAGTCGGCCTCATAGCCCCGCCTCCATCCGAGCACTACAAGATATGTGATCTGTCTCGGCAAAAGCCAAACTGGCATCTCATCACTGCCAGCTTTCTCGGCGCCAGGCGGGCTTCGTTTATGTACCGCCTGGCAAGGGGTGTCTGCCAATGATGTACAGACCCTTCACGCCAAACATCCAGTACGGTGTTTGTCCATTTTGTCACAGTAGAGAGGACGCGCTGCACGTATTTCGCGAGTGCGCCCTTCCAAAAGCCCTACTCCGAAAGATACCCGACTTATTTCAGCTCCCGGGAGTTCCATATCCCACGGTCCGATATTAAAATCCGCTCCCTTCTGACGCAGTCAACCAGTTCATGCTTCTTCTCGTCGAGTGCCTATACAAAGTTTGCTTGACGCGATGCGAGGCCGCTTACGAGGGGAAACTGCCGGGCCTTCACGAAGTGCTTGCAAAAGTACGGAAGGAGGTCTGTTGTTCCATCTTTTTCGTGAGCGGCATCGCCTAGGCGCGAAGAAGTTTCTCAAAACCTGGCACCGACCAGCGCTGATCTATAGTGAGTCTAAAGGGCAACTAACCATGACGATAGTTTAGCGCGGGAACATAACGACAACTAAGTTGTTGTTATGGGACAACTTAGTAATTTATTTATTTAAGAAAGCCCCCACAAAGCTAAAATATCAACATCATCTCTACCTGTTGACAGAAAAACTGAGGGTTTGCATCACATATGTCCCGTTGCCTTTTTTATTATACTGATAGGCTTCACAACTTTCATATTAATTGTTATTTTTCAACTCCTCTTTAATTTAACAAACTAAAGAATATATCAAAGCAATTGTAATTCCCCTTGAATTTCCTACACACATCAAAGTATTTGAAACTTCATTTTTAATGAAGTGAAAATTTTCTTACAAGGGATATATGAACCATTCTTTGTTCACAACAGGCATTTACTGATCATTTTGGTATACATCAATTCAATATCTTACAGGGCGCTACGGTTTACGTCTCATCATGGCTGTGAAAATTCGAAACTTGCGCCTTGCACTCCCCGGGAGCTGCCTGCCAATACACACGTGGGTGCGAGTCTCCTTGCCTCTCCTTTCCTCAGGAACTAATGAACTCGACCGTCATGCACATCAGCTGGCCTCCATTCTACAGTAGAATTCATTGACCCGCCCGCTCATCTGACCTCCTTCTCCCCTTCAGTTTTGCGCCAGGACGGCGGAGATTATGGCAATTGGTAGTATGTAGGTGTTCTGTGTTGTGGCTTTGTTCTTTGTCGTTCGCTGTGGAAGAGCAACATCACTTCTATCAGTTCCTACCACTAGACATGAGATTAACAACGGCAACAGCAAACGTAAGCGCAAAAATACAACAATCGAGCAGAAGTTGGAAGTCGGATGTTGAAAGCCGTTGAGTTTGAGGTCAAATAAAAAAAAAGTGGCCGTAAATTTAGGTATATCGTTGAGCATGCTGTCGACGATCTTAAGCAAGAGAATGCATTACTGGTGCTGTTGCACATGGCGTCAAAGGCAATCAAATGAAGCTGCGAGTCTCCGCTTTCGGAGCTGTCAAGAAGGCAGTTGATTTTTAGAAATCAGAGCAAGCAGCACTCCTGTGAATAAGGCACTTCTGCAACAGAAGGCAAGAAACTTCGTGTGCATCATGGAGCACGATGTTTTTGTGGCTAGTGATGGCTGGCTGCAGCGCTTCAAGGAGCACCATGACTTCGTCGGCAGGGCTGTCAGCGGGGAATCACTATCTGTCGACCGCGAAGCTGCAGTGGCATGGATCGAAAAGAATATTGTGCAGCTGCTCGAGAAATACAGCCCCAGGGATCTGATTCACGCAGATGAGACTACCCTGTTCTATCAGATGTTGCCACAAAATACCTAGGCCTTCAAAGGTGATCGCTGCCAGGGTGATGAACAGAGCAAGGTTTGCGTGATCGTGCTACTATGTACGAATATGGACAAGTCCGAAAAAGTGTCAGTTCTCATGATTTGCAAAAGTGCTTCAACATGATGCTTCAAAGGAAAGCGGAAACTCTAAGTGACTTATGCCTCCAACCACAAGGCCTAAATGACAAGTAAAATCTTAGCACAATGGTTGCGCAAGTGGGACTAATGGCTGGTCAAGCACAACTGCAAGACATGAGTCATCCTAAATAACTGCGCGGCCCCCGACCACGCTACCCTTGTGCTTAAAAACACTGAGCTGTGCTTTTTGCCGCCTAACACTACTGCGGTTGTGCAACCCCTCACAATAAAGGGTTGATCATGAACTTCAAGTCAGGCTATCGCTAGCATGTCATTGGTCGAGTATTTCTCATTATGAGTTTGTGCGAAACAACAACCTGAACATGGCAATGGAGATTTTGCAAGCTGCCCAGATGGCCGTGATCACCAACTGCTTTCGGCATGCCCCATTTGGCGTCAGCAACGGAGAGTCCAGCACAGATTTCAGCAATGTCACCAGAGAGGCTACCGCGGGCGACCAGGCGCAGATGTCATGGGACCCTTTCCTTGACGCCTCCAGTGTGCCTGACTGCGACACTTTCTTAACGTACGTCCGTGCCCATGCTGAAGAAGTGACAAGCAAAGAGTTGTCGGATGGGAAATTGTGTGTGTGGTGACGGGGGTGCATGTTGACAGTGACTAATGAGTCCACACCCCGGAGCCTAATGTTGGCAAACCCGGCGTACCGACGTCTGCGCAAGCGCTGGATGCGACAGACCTGTTGCGTTGCTTCTTTAGGTCTTTAAAATGATGGAAAGGACGAACTCGCAATAGCTGCTGCAGCTTAAAAAGAAGTAATTCACGTAAGGAGAAGTAGACAAGTCTATTAATGACTATTTTTCACCGAAGTGATCTGCCAGCTGTAGCGTTGTATTTGGTGAAAATAAAATGTGTTTTTCTTTATTATTGTGCTAGCCTTTTGCCTTCCGATGAATGTGTTTCTTTGCGCGACGGGCTGCTGTCACATTCGGTGGTGAGTACAATCACTCTTACTGGCTAATTGTCCATAGAAATGTATATTGACTCTAACAAACTAATGGTTATAATGAAGCAATTACGTTTCTCCCTTTGACTTCGAATTTTTGTAATCATAGCGATAGAGACAAGAAAATGGCCTCTATCGAGTGTGCATGCAAATGGGTTGCACAGCGTTGCCTTTCCGTAGAAAGAAGGCATCGTGTTGCGGAGAAGAGAAGGAATGCTCTCCTTGGTGAGTACGCATATGCTGATTTAGGTTGCCTTTCATAGAAAAGGATGCATTACAGTGGACACAGGAAAAGGGCTTTCCTCCTGTGTGCATACGGATGTGTCTCATCAGATAACTTTTCTTCACAAAGTATGCACTGCAGTGAACACAGAAGTAAGAACTCTCCCTTGTGTGAGTGTGCACGTGCCGATTTAGAGCGCTTTTCACAGAAAAGGATGCATTGCAGTGGACACAGCAGTAGGGACGCTCTCCTGTGTGAGTGCGCATGTGCCGAATTAGAGTGACTTTTGCAGAAAAAGAAGCATTGCAGTGGACACAGCAGTAGGGATGCTCTCCTGTGTGAGTGCGCATGTGCCGAATTAGAGTGACTTTCGCAGAAAAGGAAGCATTGCAGTGGACACAGGAAAATGGCTGTTCTCCGGTGTGCATGCGGACATGTCTCACCAGGTTGCTTTTCCGCATAAAGGATGCACCGCAGTGGGCACAGGAGAAGGGACGCTCTCCTGTGTGAGTGCGCATATGCTCGATAAAATGTCCTTTTTTCATAAAGGATGCATTGCAGTGGACACAGGAGAAGGGCCGCTCTCCTGTGTGTGTGCGGGTGTGCTCAATGAAGTGGCCTTTCTGCAAAAAGGATGCACTGCAGCGGGCACAAGAGAAAGGCCGCTCTCCAGTGTGTGTGCGGATGTGCCTAATGAGGGTGTTTTTCGTCACAAATGACGCACTACAGTGAACACAGGAGAAAGGCCGCTCTCCTGTGTGGGTGCGCACGTGAGCCACCAGCTTGGACTTGTACATGAATGCAGCTGGACAAAAGTGGCACTGGTAGGGAGGCTCGCCCATGTGTTTCTGAAGGTGTCTAATCATAGTTGACTTGTCCAGTGTCACATAGGTGCACTGCTGGCAGGAATGAAGTCGGCCTCGTACAGACAACAGTGAATAAGACTGTTCCGTGGATGCACAGGACAAGGAGCCTGCAAAGCAATCAAGAGCACGCAAAGTTAAGTAGGTTATGTGTCATAACTGGACCACAGCAGCAGACAATATGCAAGGGTTGCTGCACATGTAAAAAAATAAAGATGCTCATCCTGTCTCATACAAACTAAAGCTACTGTTATGGCAACAGCGGCATCGACACAGCATGTATTATGAAAATTACCATCTTGCTGGGGATAAACTCTAGGGTCAGCACATCCGCAGCGAACACCAGGTGACAAAAACTACGATATAATCTAGCTATTATTCCAAGGCTACATTAGACAATTCGAAAGTGGCTAATTATGAACAAATGAAAACCAGCCCATTAAACTACTTACTGTAATTCTGAGAAGCATTCATACTACACTGCACACAAAATAACAATTTTATATTGAAACAAAACCAGCATAATAAAAAATTATGAGTCAATTGATCTAATGTGAAGCAAAGAAAAAATATACTTAAAACACTACAATTGCAGCAATGTTTTTTGTGCTACAAATCGCCACAAGACCATAATAATAACAACAACAACAACAACAATAATAATAATAATATTTATTTCTCATCAATACGTTTGATGAAGGGACACCTGCAGCTAAAGGCTGCTCTCCGAAAGAGGAAGATTGAAAAGGGCCCACAGCAACCTTTTAACATGACAGCAGTGGCAAATAGTCAGCAGTACAAATGTAAATAACAAGCAATAAAACAAAGCCCAAATTCCAAAAAAACACAATAATAACAATATAGCAACTGCAGAGATATATTAAACATAGGTAATTCTCACAATTGCGTCTGTGTGCAGTGTAAAAAGACTTCTCACTTACGAAGCATTATTTACATCTTCCAGCATTAAAGCAAACTGCCACTACAAAAAGAAGTCCATTTGTCGAGCAATGTGCAATATTGAAGAAGCTGTTTATATTACTGCCGCAGTTAACAGACCTTCCATTAATACCTCTACACAGCTTCAATGAAAGCACAACGATACCAGAGAAAACAGTCACTTACGAATCATAATTTACATCTTGCAGTATCAAAGCAAACTGTCCCTGCTGGTCACTGCAGCTCATTGGGCCATCTTGCTGGTAATGCTGGAAACACGATAGTTCCCCCTCCCCCCCCCTCCCCAGAATGCCCGTGAACAGTGGTAAGTTATAGATAAATATAAATAGTTTGCCGTTTGAACGTTGAAGGAGGTGCTCCTGAATGGCTCAGCGATTAGCGCCTCACATTCATGACAAGAGGTCCCACGTTCGATTCTGTGCGCTGTGGTCTTTCTAATAATTTTATTTCTTGCATTTACATATATATATACGTATACATATACGGTGAGTGACGCCGATGCTGGCGGCAAAATCCGGTGAGAATTGTCCATATAATTGCTATTGCAATAAAATAATAATATTATTATTGATATTGTTATCTAAATTACCATCGCAAAGGGCGCGGAAATATATTTGCCGTGGGCGTCGCCCTATCTAGTTACGCCACTGTGCAGCTCTCGGCCTATGGGTGTTAGTGGCCACACCAGAGGCATCGCCCAGCATGCTGCAAATCTCAGGGACGCGGCCAAAGTGACCGAACTGCCGGCACTGGCTTGGCCACGGTTTCACGTGGCATACATGCAGCTGCAAGGTGTAGAGTGTGAGGCAGTCACGAGAGACAGGGTGTGAAAATTGGACCTTTATGGCACCATCCACCCTGTATTGCAGTCACTGGAGCGGTTCAGCCGATGCCTCCGAGTAGCTCTGCCTACGTCAGGTCACTGTCCACATCGTAGAGTAAGCCCACACTCGATCTGTAGGCTTATGCCAAAAAAGCCAAGGAAAGAAATAGCAGAAGCATAATCAATGCCAGGAGGGAACAGGAGCCGTGGCTTTTCATGCCACAGCCAAGTGCCGTCATTATTTTCTTCACTTGCAGGCGCACATTCTCTGGTTTGCCCACCACCCAAACGAGGGCCCTATAGATCAATGACCAGCAGGTTCCCTGAAAGTGACGGTGATGCCATTGAGTTCCGAGATGGTCAGGAGCTCTGATAAACGTCGCATCAGTGGCCGTTAATGCAGGACGCCGCCGACGGCCACTGATGAGATGAAACGCCACCAACGCCGACAATCACGTTTCGCATTTGATGAGGCATGTAAGGCTATCTAAGGCCTTCGCTGTAACAAACACTGTTGTGTTTTAAGTACCGTGGTCGAAAGTGTTTTTCCAATGTCTCAAGACAGTGACGAAGTGCCAGAAACATCCAAAAACGAGAAAACCTGGCCTGATGACATCAAGCTCGGCTAACTAACTATAATCACGTGAATATAGTGATCATAAAAAACGCGGCTGTATCACAGAAATAGTATGCACATTGATTTCTGTTTAACATTTCATTTTTCTTGGTCCAAATAGTCACACATGATTGACATGTGGGGTATAAAGTACCAAAATCACCATATGATTATGAGAGAAGCTGTAGTGGAGGGTTCCAGAAATTTTGACCACCTGGGGTTCTTTACCGTGCAATCAAATCTGTGCACACGGGCCTACAGCGTTTTCGCCCCCATTAAAAATGCAGCCGCCGCAACCGGGATTTGATCTCGCGAACTGTGGGTCAGCGGCCGAGTACCTTATCCACCAGACCACCATCGTTAGTTATATTAGCCCAGAGAAGTTGGAGTGGCGCTGCCTGGTGGATGACGTCGCGGCACGGACTCTTCGATGCAAGCCGCCACGTGCCTACATAATAATGCGCTTGCTTCGAGCGCTGTTCCAATGGTTGTGTTCGCTTTTTGATTGTCTCAAGCTGCAGATGAATGAAAAAAACAGATTTAGTATTGTTTCACGTAAAACAATAAAATGCGCACTTCTGCTGCTGCAGAATCACGCGCCGGGAATGTGAGATTAGTGAAAAAGTCTTTGTGCCACTGCTGACCCTGATGAATTTCATTCATGGCGACGACAGCCGCATTCCGACGGGCGCGAAAATGAAGAACAAGCTTCTGTTTGGATGCAACAAACCCATTGACCTATTACAATGTGATTTTGAGAAGGAATTAAGACACCACATATACATTATAAGGTTGAGATGTGCATGGGTGATTTCTTTCGGGGATATCAGGGCTTCTCCTCGTCTAGAATAATTTGCACCAAAGGAATCCACGCATCTACGGACAGCACTTTTAGAAGTGTATCAAGCCTCGCGCTCGCGTGCAGAATCGAGTATCACAACATATACCCGGAAGGTGCTCGCCTTAGAATACCGCCGCCGCTGTTGTGTGTTTTTCTCGTGTGCTTGCTCACTCAACACATTTAGTTTCATGTTTCTCTTGCAATAATTTTGAATCTTTAAGTGACCAAAATTATTGAGGTTAAGTGCTGTTTAGGTTAAGTGCGGAAAATCATATTGCGGCTAGATTTTGTCCTTAAGCAGAATCATAGCAACGGCGCGGGCGCACTCTGAACTACCAGTTTAGATAGCCACCTCAAGCATTAAATTTTCTTGCAATTCATTACCTGTTGGCGGACATGAGGTGCGAGACCAGTCGTCCCCTCGTCGAGGCGAAGGTTGTTTAGTTATTACATATGGGTCCAGAAGCCTATGAATTGACATTTTTTCGGGGTTGGGGAGGGCACCTACTTGAAATGGTCATTTCTCTCTCTGCATAGAGAAAAAATTTGGGGCGTAGGGGCCAGGCCCCATGAGCCATCTCCTGGTTACGCCCCAAATGAAGGATTTCATTTGGGCTTCCTGACGTTTGTGTTGAAATCGTTGCTATCAGTGGTGCTCCCACGTAAAGCTCCTATTATTGTTTGTCGCGGTAGTAGAACACTCCAGCATTTCACGCAAATCATAGTACAGGACTACATAATCCCTGGTGACTGTTGAGAACAAGCCTGTGCATATGATCCCAGTGAACGGAAATATCTCATTATAGGGGAAAATGTGTGTGCCGCAGAACTATTTTGTTTGTTTGACGAATATGTTACGCCAGTGCTCATGACCATCATATTCATGTAATGTCATATTCATGTAATGTAATGGACAAAACTCAGTTCTGTAAGATCATTTAGATCATTCACAGATGCAGGCTTAACTTGCACGGTAAAAGTGCAACGTATTTAGTGAATTGAAAACGCCCCAATTTCATTTCTCATACTTCGGCCCGGACATGTTTTAATCCCGGAGTCTATATCTAGTTGTAATAAAACATTGCCACTTAGCCTATTTTCTTAGCACCCATTCTGTGGTGTGTGCAATAAAAACAATGAACAACTTCTCCTGCATTACCATGTTCACAATGAATGTTCTGTTCGGATGAGAGTCTGCCTATACTAAGCTAAATTATGAAAACTTCTTACAGCCTTAAAAACTTTTACTAGTTGTGCAACCTTGTACCTTGTATATTGAGAAACTTCCTTCATGAAATCGAGGAATAATCACCAATGTATCGCTAAAGAGCATGTGCACGAAAGGCGCAGAGAGAGGCGACAAGCGATGGCGGAGCAAGCGAGTCCGTGCCGCAACCGGAGCGACGCTAGTGTTTGTTCTCATGGATAATAGGCACAGACGAGACAACTAAAAAAATGGCATCCGAACTTGAAACGAGAAATTACTTTTACAGAATGATGAGAAACTGAGTCAGTAGCGCATAGACCCACATTAGCAGTGTTGTGTTGAGAACCATCCTCTTTTTCATAAGAGGAGGAGGCCCGCCACTGCTGAAGTAGAAGTGCTGCCTTTTGCATGCGTGCCCGTTGATTCATCATTGCAGTGATGTGGAGTCGCTCTCTCCACGCGCAATAAATTTAGTGTACTTTCAGTGGTCAGGTCAGGCACTTCAGATGTAGTTGAATCTTTTGGCCCCAGTCGTTTAGGAGAAGTCGGCAGTAGAGCCTGCCGTTTTCGGAGCGCTTTCTTGGTTTTACGCTACATTGTCAGGTATTTTGCGCAGCCCCGATAAAATGGCAGGCACAACATCCGCAGTGAGCGAAGGTTTCT